TCTCACTAATCTTTTAATTTTTTTTTTTTTTTTTTTTTTTTCGAAAAAAAATTAATTTATCAAGAAGCATTTAGATTATTTTTTAATGATACTCTTAGTTTTATTTAAAAAAAAAAAACTATTTCAAGGTCGTGAAAATGCCATAACGCACGTAATAACGGTTTCTAATTTACCTAATTTGATAAACGATTATTGAAAAATTTAAAAGACGAAAAAAAATCAAAACCTTTTCCTTTTCGCGGTTATTAATATTATTATCATCATGTGTTTTTTTTTTTGTTTTCAGATGAAAAGAATAGCCGAATTTAAAGAAAAGCATAAAAATTTACTCGAAGGTTTGATGCCGGCGGATTTGGAACGAGTGATGATGGAACACGACGGAGTAAACGTTCTCATAAATCGCGATCAAGATGGCCGTAGAATATTCGTCACAAACGTCGGTAAAAAATGGGATCCGAGCAAAGTGTCAAACGATCAAGTATTTCAATTGTTTTACCTAATACATTTAGCAGCCATGATGGAACCAGCAACTCAAGTCAACGGCGTCGTCGTCATATTAGATTTCGACGGATTGGGATTGAAACAAGTGGCAGCATTGACTCCGACATTTTCCCTCAGGCTTTTGAGTTTTATACAGGTTTTTGTTTGTTTGTTTGTTTGTTTGTTTTTGGATGACCATAACGCCAAATCAAATCAATCATCTGAAATTAAATTTTGTTTCTTTTTTTTTTAGGATGCCATGCCTTTGCGACTCAAACAAGTACACATTGTTAAACAACCATTACTCTTTAACGCTGTTTGGAAAATATTTAAACCTATAATAAGAGAAAAACTTAACAATCGAGTGAGTTTTTATTTATAAAAATACCTACAAGTACCTGGAAACATCCCCTTAAATATTAAAAAAAAAAAAAAATTATTTTTCAGTTATATTTTCACGGGAACGACATGAGCTCTCTACACAAATACATAAATCCAAATTGTTTACCTGAAGAATATGAGGGATCTCTTCCCCCCACGAATTACTCTTCAAAAGACTGGTACCCAATTTTGAAATCTTTAGATTCCGTCATCGAAGGTAAGTTAAATCAATCAATCAATCAATACTAATCATCTATCGATCGATCGATCGATCGCCTCATTAATCAAATCAATTTTCATTATTCCAGAACAAAATACTTTTGGCTTGGTGAAAAAATAATAACGATCCTAAAAAAAAAAAAAAACGATGATGATAATAATAATAATACTAATAATAATTTAAATGAAACGACTGATTATTAAATAAAGTCTCATTTTGTTAATAAAGACTCTTATAATATATACACATGTTTTCAATAAATAAAATTATTAATAATATTATTTGTTTTTTTTATATTATATATCATAAAATTTTCATGTTTGTTATGAACGCAACGCATTTTTATTCATAAAAAAAAAAAAAAAAAGATTTAATGTTTCGATTTCATAACAAAATAAAATTTTCAAATATAAATAAATAAATGATTTCGAAATCATTTTATAATAACACACACACACACACAAAAAAAAAATTGTAATTTTGAAATTATTATTATTATTATTATTATTATTAGAGTTCGTCTATAAATAATAATAATAATAATAATTCAAGTCGTTATGTAAAATAACTTTTAAAAAATTTTTTTTCTTTATTATTTTTAACTTTTTTTTTTCGAAATAACGTAGTGGAGGTAAAGAGAGTACGCAATCATCCATCGAATTGTAAATTTTTTTGTTTACAAAACAAATTTTCAGACATTTTGAACCGTTACAAAAGTTAACATGGTCTATTTAATAAATAATATTAAACAAATAAATAAAATACGAGTATTTGAATAGGTACGATACAATTTAAGTAGTAAAAAAGCATTTGGCACTTTCGCGTTGCATTTTATACATCAAACAACAAATTTAAAAACCGACAAAAAAAAATTAATAATAATAATAATAATAATAATAAAATAATTGCATTGCGAGGTTAAACAAGGAAAAAAAAAAAAAAAATTTTCTTCCTTCTTTTTCAAGGAAGGCATTGAAAAAAATTAAATATAATGTTTAAACGTGCAAAAAAACGTGCAAATAGAATAAATTTTCCATCTTCATCAATAATTTTTTTTTTAATTGGGGGGGTGCCGACGTTTTTCGAAAATTAAAATAATAAAAAATTCGAAACGTTGCGCCTTACTCAATGATCATTATTATTATTATTATTATTATAAAAATTTTTTTTTTTACTACGCAAATAGAGAAGAAAAATAAATTTTACAAAAAATACACGTGAGAGAGAGAGAGAGAGGGAGTAAAATATAAAATGATGGAAATAAAAGAACGTATGAGGTGGCGGCATAAAAAAACTCGTTTTTTAAAGAAAAAAACAAGTTTTTTGAACGGGGCTAAAAAAAAAAAAAAAAAAAAAAAAAAAAACTATATTATTTTAAACTTCCGCCAAAATGCCAAAAAAAAAAAAAAAATAAAAGAAAAAAAAATTTCGTTTAATAAAAAAAAAAAAATATAAAAAAAATATTTGATGTTCGATTTTCGTACGTAATATAACTTTTTTACTTGGAAATTTTTATACTAAAAAATATCTATTATAAAAAATCAATGTAAACCTGTGCTTCGAACACACTTACGCACACGCACACACACACACACACACGAGAAATATAAAAATTACAAAAATTTTTTTTTTTTCCTTACTTAAAAATTACAAAAATCAAATTAATTAAAACTTAATTAGTCTTTAGGTTAATTTTCTCAACTTAATTTTTAAAAAAATTTTATTTTTAGTTCGTTAATTACTAAATTATCAATTAAGTAAAAAAAAAAGAAAAGAAAAATTTTTAACGTTTTCGATAGATAACATAAAAATTATTTTCCCCGTAAAAATTAAATTGAAAAATTTTTTTTTTATTGCGCAATAACAATAACTCATAGTAAATTTTTTCAAAAAAAAAAAAAAAACAATAGAATTATAGCTTATTATTATTATTATTATTATTTGTTTTTGTAAGAGTCTGTAATTATTAAAAAATAAAAAAAAACGTTCATTAATTTTTTTGTAATCGATAATTCAAGTAAATAATGTTCAACTATTTAGTTTTACAAACGTGATAATAAATTTGTAATTTTTACTATTATTAATATTATCATCATCATCATCAACATGTTTTATCATCAGGCTTTAGAGGCCATTTTTGTTTTTTTTGTTTTTAAATAAGCAAGTCCAAGTTTTTATTCTGTGAGACGAACTTGTTAACTGTACAACATAATTTCTTTCTTTTTTTTTTTTTTAAATTAAATTCTCAAAAATCCTTTTTGCAAATTAGCGAATTCATTTGTTGTGGCCCCCGCTATAGGTTTTAGGTAGTGACTGTGACAAACTTGTTTTGTCACATCTCACATTCTGACAATTATTATTATTATTATATTTTTTACTAAAAAAAATTTGTTGTTAAGCGATTCCGGTTTGTCGAGTACTCAGTTTTGTTTGTTTGCCATTTTCATAACTTTGATTCTTCATTTTAAGCTTTCTGCAGAAATTTAATCTTTCACAGCCTTATAAGAGATTTGAAACTTTACATTATTTCTTCCATCATTTTCTTAGCTCATTAAAACAATCATTTATGAAAACAAATTCTACTCATCATTAGAAAATAATAATTATATATACAAAATAGTTGGTGTAGTTGGGCAACTTTTGGTTACAAACATTCAGCTTTATTAGATTCCAATTTTATTTGATGTAATCTTCCTTGTCGCACGCTAGTTTCTTATGAGAAAAGACAACACTCCATTCAAATATGCCTTTAATATGTTTATTTATTCCTTTCATTTCCTTTGTATTGTCAGTCTGCCTTTAATCCTACATTTAACATTTTGATATTGTTTTTTTTCTTTTTTCATGTTATCTTACTTGATCTCAAGTTCCCTGATATTCTTTTTTCATCAGATGTGATTTCTTTTGTTGCCTTTTTTATTATTAAAAAAAAAACATTAAAATTGCAATTTTTAACAACATTGTTTGTCTTGAATACAAAATAATTGTATTGGCAACAAAACTTTTACAATATTATTTATCATAAATGTTTTACCTTTGAACATTTATTTATTTAATAATTAACATAAATGATATTGTTGGGTGACCTTTAATATATAAAAACTTAACTAAAAACAATATTATTATTATCATTAAAAAACAATTACATATTAATATTAATTAAATTGAATAATCTAGTAACAATCTAGTTTGATGTTGCTTTGAATTTTTTTTTTTGTTTTTCTATTTTTCAATTTTATTAATATTTTACATATTAAAAAATTATTCCAGTACTACAATCATCAATTCCAGTATTCTTTGTTAAATATCAAACCGAAGGGGTGAGGGGGTGGAAATTGTATTAAATGTAATGCAGTTTGTGTTATATTAACATTCATAATAGTTAAGGTAACAATAATAATGTTTATTAAAAGAATTCTTTTGTAAAACCAATTACAACATTTATATGTTTAAACTTATTAGGCAAGAAATTAAATAGCCTAAATAGATTTTGGGTTTTTCAACTTGTACTAAATTCAAACAAAAAAAAAAAAAAAAAAAGTAAAAGCAAACAAAAAAAATGAATCAGTTGGAACTACAAATAAAAATTTGACTTTTGCCCGATCTAATTCTAAACTTAAACAGGATGTATGAACACATAAGAAATTCTCAAAAGGTAGTTAATAAGAGAAGCATGTTTAAGTTTATGCTAAAATTGTTTTTTTTTTTTTTAACTAACATCATGAAAATTTATAATAATAATAATAATGAAGCAAGGGAAAACCGGTGTAAATTTTTTAATGTTCCAAGAAAGAAAAAACTTTGAAAATCATTACATGCCATTAATGTGTGTAACAAATTTGTGCTGTTTGTTGCAAATTGATTCGGAAAATCCCCTTTACGCCTACGTTTGCATGAATAAAATGTAAATAAATAGTAAAAATAAATAATAGTTGACGGTCACATATATTCTTTTATTCTTTTAGCTGATTAAGCTACGTTCTTATCACATTTAAGATTACATATAAGTATGAATGTACTCTACTATAAAGCATCTCAACTTAAAAAAAAAAAAAAAATGAATAAAAAAAGAATGTGTTACAGATTTGTAATACTCCGTACATTTTTGTATGTTAAAAATTAAAAGATTTTTATAATTATCATTATCATTTTATATATATAAAAATTGCCCGTTTCTAAAAGGCATGATATAAGATTATGCAATAAGGTGACTTATCCTGTTTCAATAAAAATTCCAACTACATTCATTTTAATTATTAAGTGTGTGTGTGTGTGTGTGCGTGAAGTACTTTTATCATACTTAAATTAATAATAATAGAGTAAAAAAAATATATTAAGAATACTTACATTTTATGTAATTTTGCAAGAAAAAATGGTGTCCACGCCACTCATTATTATTAATATTAGTTTTTTACGTTTCGAGACACGTTTTCCCATCTTCATTTCATAGCAGAGAACGTACTTTAAATATTAAACAGTTGAAAAAACGTTAAAATGTTATTTTTATTTGAAATATCATAATAAAATTGAATTCGATTTTAATGACGGCTTGTCTTTGCCAAATTAAATATGGACGCCAGTCGCTGTAATAAAACAATATGTGAATTCATAATTGTGCGACAATTATTAATCAAATTTAAAAGATTCCGTTTCATTAAATGTATTATATAAGAATATAATCAAAACCAAACCTGTTTGTTGAATAAAACGGCAAACCTACTTGTTTAAATGATTAAATTTCTCATGATAATTTAAAAAAAAAAGCATAGTTTAACATTTTTAACAACTTCGTATCACGTTTCACAAAAAAAAAGAAAAATTTGATGACGGACAATTAATAATTTGTCGAAATTTGTTCCTTCCATGCTGATTAAGCTGAAAAAGTGGGACGCGCATTTTCAATTTTTGTCGCCTAAATAAAATCCGACAAAAACAAAACAAAAATGGCGGATTTCATCCGGTAATGTTGATAGGTATTATTATGGCATACTGTTGTTTATTTTTAACTTTTTTTCTTACGAATTATGAATTTTAATGAACTCGTTTACAAAAACTATCAGTGAATTATTATTAAAATCAAAATGAAACATTCGATTTAACGTATTTTAAAAGTTTATAATAATAATAAAAATATTATAATTAATCGAATAACAATGGCGTCAATGTTTTTCTTATAGTTTTAAACTCATCCATGTTACTATTTTTTTTTTTTTAATAAATGAACTAATTATGTGCTTAATTATATTCACCGGCATTATTACCTTGGCCAAATTTGTTTTTTTTTAAATTCAGATTACTCATTAATCTGAGTTTAATTTTCAATTAGACCAAAAAAAAAACAAAAGTCATGCATGTGAAATAAAAATTTAGATATCTATTTCATTTTAAATACAAACAAACAAGCAATTTCAATCTATAGAAAATCATTTTTGACCCTAAATAATATATATATTATGTCAAATATTATTTTAATAAAAAAAAAAAGAACCCTAATTGATTAAAACATTGATAAAAAGTTATCACATTTAATTTAAAATAAAAAATAATAAAAACTTTTGGGAATATTTTATATATGATAAGAAGTAAAAGGAACATGATGTAGATGATGACCCTGAACCTGGACTTTGATAATAAAATATTATTATTATTATTTTTTAACACTTTCACCTTCAAAATTTATAATAATTAATTATAAAAAATAATTAAACCGTTCCCTAATATTTAATCAACCGTTAATAAATGTCTGATGAGGAATGTATACAAGAGGTTAAACATTTATATTAAAACAAAAACAATATATATATCAACATGTATCAAAATCATATGAAATAAAATAATAATAATAATATTACAATAAACCTATTGATAAATTCATTGAAATGATGATATGAGGTGAAGAAGAAGAAAAAAATAAAAATTTTCCCAATGATTTATTTTTTCTCTGTATTATTTATAAAAAAATCTATTGGTTTGTGCAATGAACAGGTTGAAAGAATAAAAATATATAAGTAAACAAATATGTATAAAATAAAATAAAAAAAAATTCAAATGGCAAGAGTGGAAGAAGTTGAGCCTGTTTTGCCTGAACGCAACCATTCAAGGGCGTAGCAATTATACTGTTCGATTATTTTATAAAGAAACTTCTCTCTGTTTACGATTAGAAATAGACCAGTAAAAAACAAAAGTGATACAATTAATAATAATAATAATAATAATAAATTTTTTTAAAGTTATTTTTCTTTTTAATACAATAAGAATAGAATAGAAAAAAAAAGAAAAAAGTGTGAAATAAAATTTTTTTTTTAATTTTAAGGTAAAATTTTTTTTATACTTTATAATAATTTTTTTTTTAATTTAAAATTTTTTTTTTTTTGTCGGTTTTAAAAATAAAGTGAATATCAAACGTGTTTTTTTTGTTTTTTTTTTGTGGTGTTTAAATAATTTTTTTATAATTTAAATTGTTCGTTTGAGTTTAATGGTATCCATTGGGAATTTTATCAAAAAAATAATTTTTTTTAACCGGATGTTCTTTGTCACTTTTTTATTTTTATTTTTTTTTATAAATAACATTAAACAAAATATGATAAACGTTTTTATTTTTATAATTTTTTTATATTTTTTTTTATTGAAATCCGAATCGAATATTAAATATTTGAATATTTCTACGTCGTTTGAATTGTTTTTTAAATAAAATCGATCGGGAAATTTTTATTACTCATCAAATTAATACCAAAAAAAAAAAAAAATTTACACGGTCAATTAAGTATTATTCATTACGTTTAAAAAAAAAAAAAAAACGTTATTACGTTGAATTAATTAAAAAAAAAAAACAATTCCTTTGAATTTATTGCGGATTTTTTTGTAACGTTCGAATTATTTAAATTTATTTCAAATCACGTGAACGTTATAATAAATCAAACATTTTTTTTTTTTTTTTTAAATTTAAGGTATCGTGTGTGGGTGTGCGTGTGATAAAATTTTAAAATAATAAATCTATTAAATTAAATTTTTCATTTTATTTTAATACCCGCGCACACACGCACACACTTAATTTAAAAATAAGAAATTTTTTTTTTTTTCAACGTATTCTACGCGTAGGTGGTGGCAAGTTAAAAAATTTTCAAACTGACTTTTTGTTGTCGTCAATTTCTCTTTCTGAACGTACTTTATAATTTTACGTGTTGCGACAGAAAACGGTCGACGAATTAACGAACGGCAACGTGTCGAAAATTATAAATTGTTTATTTAACGGTTGTATTATATTAAATAGAGGATTATACAACGGATTAATATTTTATTTATTTTTTTTTTAGTAAAAGAAAATGTTGAAATATTATCACATGTAAAAATGGCTGTTAAAATCAATGTAGGTCACTAACTAAAATAAAAGCGTCTGATAACAACTTTAAACGATATTATATCGAAAAAAAAAAAGTATATATATATATACGTTATTATATTTCTGTTGCAATTTTTTTATCGTACAGAAATTAAATACACGTAGAATAATAATAATAATAATAATAATAATGATAAAAGATAAGAATTTAAACGAGTTTATGTTACGTTAATATACTCATGTTTATAAAATTTTTTTTTTTTGATAATAACGATTACAAAAGTTATCAAATGTGGGGGTATTTTTACAACGATGAAAACCACCTAAAAAAAAATCACATTTTTTAAAATTAAATTTCGTTAGGATCAAATTGTAATAATAATAATAATAATAATAATAATATTTATAATTTTTCAGGTACGTCCGACGTAGTAAATAAACATTTCAACCGGGGGAAAACAAAAAAAGAAAGAAAAAAAAAATGAATTCATCAGCGGAGTTAGTGTCAAGTACGACTGTGGTAAGTAAAAAAAAATTTTTTTTTCTTCCCCTCCCACCCCCCCCAAAAAAAAATTTTTATTATTATTATTATTAAATAATTCAATTTGACCTTTTTCATTAATAATAAAAAAATTAAAAATTTTTCACGGTGATGATAATAATAATTTAATTAGAAAAAAACGATCATGACAAATATTAATAAATAATTAGACGTTTTTCTTTCTTTTGTCCATTTTTTTTCCATCGTCTCTTTTATTATTATTATTATTATTAAACGGAATCGATTAATCGATAAATCAATATTTAATAAATAAATAATTAATTTTTTCGTTTCCCTCAATCAGACGTCAAATGAAAAAAAAAAAAAAAATTATATTCAAAAGGGTTAAATATAAAATTAATGATAATAATATAGTACAAGTCCCCCATAGTAATAATAATAATAATGATTTTCTGGGAATAAAATTAACGATGGGTTTTTAATATTTTAACCAAAACGGGGGGAGGCGGGAGGGGGAAGGAACAAATTTTCAACGTGGGAATACATATAAGAAAAAATTTCAAATGAATGAATGAATGACGTATAAGTTTACGTTTCAGGTGGAAAACTTATCGGGGAAAAAAAATCATTTGGAAAATATATTCATGTATCTTGGAAATCACGTGTTGAGATTTGAAAACGTGGAAATAGACGTGGAAGATGAAGAAAAAGCAAGAAAAGAATTACGGGAAACACCGGATGTTGTTAAAGAATCGTTGGAATCTTTTAAAAAACTATTAAACGGTTTGTTGTTGTTTCTGTAAAGAAAAATTTTCAAACTAAAAAGTTTTTTAAAACGTTAAAAAATTTTCTTTTTTTTCTTCTCTCCAGATGATGAATCTCTCGTGTATCCGACAGACGACGATTATAAATTACAAATATTTTTAAGACCTTGTAAATATTATCCAAACAGCGCATTGACAAGAGTAAGTTTTCCCAATGACGTCATCAATATATCTAAATGATTTTTTGCAGACATTTAAATTGTGATAAATCAATCGTCTGGTCTAATAATACGTTGACCTTTTGTTTGATAACATTTCTCTTGTTTTTTTTGTACAGATGAAAAAATTTTATAAATTTAAATATAATCATCCGAAATATTCCGTTGATTTATCACCCAATCATGAAAAAAGAGCTTTTCATCAAAATTTATTAACAATATTACCATATAGGAATAAAAATGGCGAAAGGATTTTAGTTATAGAAGCTGGAAGTGAGTGATAAACTTGATCAATTTCTGAAAAATAAATCGTTAATTAATTAATTTTTTTTTTCGTTTTTCAAATTCTTAAGAAAAATGGAATCCGAAATGTTGCACATTAAATGAAATATTTCGATCTGTTATGATCGTCCTGGAAGCGGCACTGGAAGAACCTAAAACTCAAATAAATGGAGTTCAAGTTATTTTAGATTTATATGGATTATCATTGCAACACGTTTGGCAATTCACGGCAACTTTTGCTAAAAATGTCGTCGATTGGGTACAAGTGAGTATCTTTATCACCACGTGACGTATCAAAAACCGTTTATATAATTATTATTATTATTATTTCAGGATTGCATACCTATAAGGCTAAAAGGAATTCACATAGTTAATCAACCCTATGTTTTTAACATGGTTTATGCTCTTTTCAAACCTTTCCTTGGTGAAAAATTACAAAAGAGGGTAAGCAGTAGACAAATATCTCTCTCTCTCTCTCTCTCTTGCAGCTTTGTAATAAATAAAATTAAATATTTTTTTTTAAAAAGCTCAAATTTCACGGTACCAATTTCGAAAGTTTACATTCTTACATAAGTCCGTCGGTTTTACCGAAACATTTTGGCGGTGACGTAGACATACCTTTCGATAAAGGAGAAGAACTTCATAAATATTTATCGAAATACGATTCCGAATTTAAGGGTTCGTTACATAAGTTAATTATTAATTTTTATTTACTCTCTCCTGCCACGATCATAATAATAATAATAATAATATTTTGTATGTTTTGCAGAACGTTCGCATTACGGGTATTCGAATGGTCCGCCAAAAGATTAAAAAACCGTAAAAATTTTTATCCAGGGACTAATAATATCACGTGTACAAATAATAATAATAATAATAATAATAATAATAATAATAATAATAATAATAATAATAATAATAATAATAATAATAATAATAATAATTTTAAAAGATTTTATATGAAAAACATCAGTCGATAATAATAATAATAAATATTTACGTTAAATAAAAAATAACTTATTTTTCTCTTTCCTTATTTAATCAATCAATTAAAAAAATAATAATAAAACTTTATATTTAACCTTTGACCTTTATACTTTTAAAAAAAAAATCATAATCGTCGGTACTGGCAATATAACGAAAGAGAATAATAATTAAAATAAAAATTTAAAAATATAAATTTAAAAAAAATAATAATTTTATTTATTTGAATTTAACATAATTAATAATAATAATAATAATAATAATAATAATAATAATAATAATAATAATTTTTATTTATTTATTTAATAATTATTAATTCGTTTTTTTTTTTTTTGTTAATAACACAGCCGTATCGCTCACATTTCCCCCCCCCTCCCCCTCTCCAATCACTAAACAATTAAACTAATTAAATTAAATCGTAACCAACTTGATAAAAATTTTAATTATTATTATTATTATTATTAAAAAAAAATTACGCGTCCTTGTTTTTTAATTTAAATTTAAATTTAAATTTAAATAACAAATTTAATTTTTTTTACCGTAGAATAATAAAATATCATAGAGTAATAATAAAAAATTATAAATATTTATTAACGTATTAACATAGCAGCATATAATCAACTACAATAAACAAAAACGAAACAAATTAATCGATCGATTTATCGAAAATAATCGATCGTTATCGATGATCGATTTTCCCACCCCATTTTGTCTTAGTGACTCAGTGATGTCTACAAACAACAATAAATAATTAAATAATGAAATAATAATAATAATAATAATAATAATTTTTTTTTTGTTTCCACGCTGTCAATTCCACTCATTGCTTTTACCTAATACTTTATGTAATTATTATTACACAATAAGTAAAAAAAAAAAAAAAATTTTTTTTCTCTATAAGCTGTAACGTATGCGTGGTCGTGCGTGTGTGCGTGTATGTGTGATTACGCACATAAACACGTGTTCGCATCTCACGTGTTACCGACGAAAATATTTATTTTGGCAACTTTAATTTTTTTTTTTTATTGTTTTTATTTTTTTATTTTTTTTTTTACTATTACGATTGCGGGAGAATGATGATGATGATGCTTCTTTTTTTTTTGCATTTGTTGTTTGTTTGTTCGTTTGTTTGTTTGTTTGTATTTCTGTTTGTCGCCGTGAGTTTAATTTTGATAAATCAGGTTCCCGCACCGCAAATATTATCGATTATTTTGTTTTACTTACCCTCGCGAAATTATTTTTTTTTGTTGTTGTTGTTTTTATAACCGTAAGAATTGATTGCTGAAAATAATAATAATAATAATAATAATAATAATAATAATAATAATAATAATAATAATAATAATAATAATAATAAGGATTTTCATTAATATCTCAAGAGGAAGAGAGAAAACCAAAAGGATTTTTAACTCACCTTCGTATTCTTTGTCGCACAAGACGAGGAGTTCGTACCATTGAGATCCACTCACGAGTGGCATTTGCAAAGTACCACCGTAACATGGTGGCAAACATTTCGGCGACACGTACTGGTGAAGAGAATTGCGATCGCTACCGTGGAAAATGATACGGTTTTTCAATTTGTCTTTTAAAAACGGTTTGAAAAGTTGGAAAACCATGTTGAATATGTAGGGTTGATTGACTATGTGAATGTTTTTGACACGGAGAGGAACGCTTTCCTGCAAAAAGAAACGAAAACGTAACAAATCGATTTTTAAGAAATCGCAAGAAAGGCAAGAAAGAAACATAATAATAATAATTTGGTACCTGAAGCCAGTCGACGATCCTTTTGGCAAAGGGGGGAGTGAATTGCCACACTTGTTGCAAAGACAAACCGTCCATGTCGAAAATGACGATGGCTCCGGCGACTTGAGATTCCGGTTCCATCATGGCGGCTTCCAAAAACAAAACGACGCATTTGAAAACTTCGTCCAAATTACACTTCGTGTGCTTCCATTTTTTTCCCAATTCCAAAAGCAAAATCCTTCTTCCCAATTGATCTCTCGTCGGCAAAACGGTTATTATGTTCTGTTGGAAAACGTTTTTCTCTTTGCTCGGTATCAAACCGTCGTAAATATTGTTGTGTTTGACCTTGAAAGCGTAGTACCTTTTGACCTGGAACGAAACGAAACAAAAATAAAACAATGCGACCAACTTAACATAAAAAAATTTTCACCGTGTTTTTTTTTTTTTAATTTGATGAAAATAATAACCGTCAACAAACACGTGACACGTGCAACACGTGACACGTGCAACACGTGACTTTTTTTTAAATTGACAATTTAAAAATAAAAAAAAAATTTATCGCGCAACTCGACCCCCTTCACAACCGACGACAAAATCATCATTTTTCCAAAAACTTCAACAAAGTTTTCCAACAGACGAAATTTAGTGTGACTTCAAGGTAATGAATTAAATGGACGTAACCCCCCTCCCCTACCCTACCCCGCCCCCTTATCAATCGAACCACACTCACCAAATCGTAAGCACTTTCTGGATAAAATTTACAAGGCCTTAAAAACCTGACGAGCCATTGTTCGTTGTCGTAAGGTACGGTGAGTTCTTTATCTTCTTTCAATAAAATTTTCAATTCTTCCATTGCGGATTTCGAGACTTCCGGAGTTTCACGAAGTTCCTTTCTCGCGATTTCTCTCATTTCCGGTGATAAATCATCGAGTTCGAGCTTCAAATCCATGTCGCCGAACTTGAGAGCTGGAAGTTCTTGTATGTCCGATAACATTATGTTGGCAGCTGAAACGAACACGAAAAAAAAACAATTAGTCATTAACATATTCGGAAATTTTTTTTTCCAGTTTACAAATTATTTCCTCCATTTTCTTTTCCTTCGCCCTTCGTCGATCAAACAAGTTGTTGTTTATTTATCGATCGATGAACAACAATTCCTGGAAAATTTTCTTATTACCAGATAAACTAGTTTGTGATTTTTTTATTTAAATTATTATTATTATTTTTTCTTCGTAAATCAACGCGGTGTAAAGTGACGTGCGACAAATTTCAAGATGAAATTTTCCAATGCTGCCAACATTACACACACGTTTTAATTCTACGACCTTAGACGTTTGTACCCGACCAATTATTTCAATCAGCATAAGGAAATAGAGAGAGAGAAAAAAAAATTCAACTTTGAATCGTGTCATTTTTTTTTTTTTTTTTACTCACTGGAGAAACTGGTTGCGAAAACTTTTCATAGAGTTCAAATATAATTAACCTCGAGCCTTGCGGAAACGTTTTGCCATAGAGTAAAAAAAAAAAAAAAATTCTCCAGTCGCATTTAAAAACGAGTCGACGATGAGAGGAAAAACGAAAAAAATTTTTTTTTGTTAAATTTAAAATGGAAAATATTGTTATTATTATTATATAATTTTAAGGGGGGACGATGACACACGCTCGCTCGCGCACGCACGCCCGCACTTTTTTTTTTTATTTTCAATTAATTAAAAAAACAATTTTCCAGTTCATCGACATCGCAAGGGGGATAGAGGGAAGGAGGAAGAGAGGGAGGGATTTAATTTGTACCTGTTCGCGACCGTTTTTTTTTCTTTTTCGGTCTCCAGAAACCAAGAATAATTAATTAAATGGTATAAAAATAATTTTCACCGATTTTTTTTTTTTGGGGGGGGGGAGGTAACGAATTGTAATTTCATTTAAATCCACAATTAATTAAAAATCTCATTAATTAGAACTTAACGAATTGAAAACTAATCGAAGGAAAATTTTTTTAAAATTCCGTATGAATCATAGGAAGAAGGGGAAAAAAAACCCTTCTCAAGCATCATTAATAATAATAATGATAACAACAATAATAAGTACAACCACCACTACTACTACTACGATTATTATTATTATTATTATTATTAAACTTTAACCCTTTCTTTCTATTTTCTTTCTCTTTTTTTTTCAACGCACTTTTGCACATTTTTGCACGTCAATTTTTTTTTTTTTTTTTTTGTTTCGCTTTCTTCTTTGTTCCTTTCCGCAACAAAACCGACATTTGCCGGTCTGATTTTTTTCCCGTTTTTGCCGCAAAATCCCCCCTTCCCCGCCCCCCGCCGATAATTTATTCGGTTATCTAACGCGTCACGTTTATTCGAGGGTGGAAAAACCAAAATAAAATTTTCCGATTTTTTCAACCCAACTTTTTTGACCTCCGGATATTCCTACTTCAAACTCACGCAAAAAAAAAAAATTACCGTAATTAATTTTTGATGATTTTTAATGACCGAAATGCAAAAAAAAACCTTTTCCCCCTTGCGCTTCCCTCCACCCTTCCCTTTTTAAATTTATTACCCAAAAGAAAACAAAAATAACAAAAATAAAATTTAAACCGTCACAAAAACGAGTGATGACTTCGCGATTTACCCGTGCTTGCGGTAACACGTAATCGATAAACAATAATAATAATAATAATAATAATAATGATAATAATAACGATAATAATGATAATAATTTATATAATTAACGCGACAGCAAACGAAATTTGACGATTTCTTACATACAAAAACGAAAAAAAAATTTTTTTTTTTAAAAATTAAAATTAATTTAAATAAATAATTACCTTTTTTTTTTTTTAATGAAATAAAATTCGATTAGAAAAAATCACAACAACCACAAACACAACAACAACAACAACAACCACAACGATGATGATGTTGACACGACACAAATTTTTACAAAAAAATTATTTATTATTAAAATAAGACGAACGAAAAAAAAAAAAAGAGTAAGAGTAACAAACAGACAGACAGACAGTCAGAGAAAGAGAGAGAGCTATCGAATAATAAATAATAATTCGTTTGTTTGTTTGTTTTACTATTGAGCGTGTAATTTGTTAAATTTTTTTTTTTTTTTTTTTATATCGTGTTCGTGTTTTCCGTATCGACACTCAAACTAAACTGATTCCGAAATTGAAATCCAGCGAACGAAATGAGAAAAAAAAATTATTATTATTATTATTATTATCACTACTACTTTTTTTCCTTCTAATAAAAACCGCACACGCAAAATGAACCTGCGTTCTCACGTTTTGCTTTCCTACCGACAAACTCTTATTCAGAAAAATTTTTAAAAAAACCGGTTTCCGTTTTTATTTTTGTTTTTAAAAGTATTACAAGCAAACGTACGTAATGTGGAAAAAACAATGAAATTCAGGTACGAGTAATCGATGTGAAAAAAGAAACGTTTTCATTGGTTCGTCATCGTCGTCGTCTTGCTATAATTTTCGACCTACGTCAACGTGTTTTTTTTTTTTTTTCGAATTCTGTCCCTTTTCCCATCGAACAAACAAACAAACAAAAATAAAATTTTCTTTTACGTCAGGAAAATTACGCGAAAAAAAAAATATTAGAGAGCGGGAGGGGGGGCTTTGTTTAACGGTTATTTCCCATTAAATAAATTCGCATTTTAAATTTTCTTCCATTTTTCCAAAATAAAATTAATAATAATAATAATAATAAAAACTGGAATTTCGAGTGCAACAAGTGCCTAAATAATTATATTTACATACGTACTCCAATAACAACAACAACAACAACAATTTCAAAATAATTATCGTACTCATTTATTTATTTATTTTTAAACTTAAAAAAAAAACATAATAATAATAATAATAATAATAATAATAATAATAATAATAATAATAATAATGACGAGCCACCATCTTAAACCCGATAAAAAATTTTCTCGACACGTGACGTGAAAATTTTTTTTTTTTTTTTTTCTAAATGAAACCTTAAACGTCAAAAACTTTCATAATTTTCGGGGGGGGGGGAGGGAAACAAAATATTTCGTGATACGAATTTCCAAATCGACTCTCTCCTTCCCTCCACTCTCTCTTTCATCCCCCTAGGGTGCCTTGTTAACGTCGAAATTAAAACAAATCAAACTTAATCCAAACGTTTTAAATAAATCCTTTATATCCTCGGGGATAAAACTTCCCGAAAAAAAAAAAAAAAATTTTCTTTAACAGATTTTAAAAATAATTAATCCGATTTCCTCCGAATTTGATGTTTATTCGAAAGGATAAAATAAATAAATAAATAATTTATTTTAATTATTAACAAATATCCCTGTCAATCATTCAATGCAATCAACTATTCCGTAAATTCTGAACATTTTTTTTCAGAGAGAGAGGATTCAGGTATAGTAAATAATATTAAAATAATTTCCAGGTACGATATTATGCAATGGGAAAACGTTAAACTACGAACAAAAAATAAAAATAATTTAAAAAAATACGAAAAATAATGATAATATTATAATAATAATAATTAAAATTATTTTTATTTTTTCAAGGTCAAAAAGTTCAACGAACTTGAAATTTTTATTTTTTTGCAAACAAACGAAGAAGAAGTGCAAACGATTCGTTAAAAAAAATTAATTTTCATTTTCTTTTCGACAATCTTAGTTTTCCCTAAGGTAAAACAACAACAACAACAACATTCTCCCTTTCTTTTTCCCTCATGAAAGTTTGTAAAATTACTTCCGGAATGACCGAAACGAAAAATTTATCTCGTCATTTATTTAAAAAAAATTTTCATAATTGATTATAAATAAACATTCCGGGACACAAGCTTTGACAACAAACAAACATATGGAAAAATCCATGAAAAATTAAAAACAACAACAACAACAATGTCAACAACGACAACACGTTACATCAATTGGTTCCACAATTTCACATCTATAAATGTATTAATTAAACATAGAATAAATATGTTTATTTATTTTTAAATAATTTTCAACCCTGACCTCATTAAGAATAAATCAAAATTGAAATTTTTGTAAAAACAACAACGTCGTCGTGGAACAAACAACGATCAAAGTTCACAGCAATAAGAAAACACCTTGAAACGAAAAAAAAAATATTCTTGACGTTCATTTTTTTTTTTTTTTTTTTTTTTATAGTTAAAGTCCTTGGAAGGGAAAAAAAAATCCTGACGAGAGAGAGAGAGAGAAAAACCTGACAGGTGAACCTGCTGATTGACGTCACGAGACTATCCTTTTCCATTGACGTTATAAAATATGTTTTTCGAAGTCGGGGTTTTTTCGTGTTCTCCCCCGTCCCCTCCCCCATCCCCCCAAACCATGAAAATCCATCGTAAAATGCAAACGTAAATAAATATGAATCAAAGGGTGATTAACAAAAATTGATCAGGTACGGAAAGGCGAAAAAGTACAAACAAATCGTGTCACTATTATTATTATTATTATTATTATCATAACTATTTTAAAACTCGCTTAACTGTCAAATCTCTTATTGATAGAAAAGATAAAAATAAAAATAAAAAAGAAACTTTAAACTTTTTACCCTCTGGACTTTGTGACTAAAGTTTTACAATCAAGATTTTTTTTGAAAATCACGCTATTAATTAATTTTATTTTTCGCCTCATGCAAAAATTCTTTTTGTTTCCCATTCTTTACGCACGCACGCACGCACGCACGCACACACACACGCACACACAAAGCCTAAACGTTTCCCCGAAAAAAAAAAAAAAAAAAAAAAAAAAAAGCAATACGGGTGACCACGAGACCAGTTGTGATCGTTGCGGTTTTCTAATGACACGTGATTTTAAAAATAAAGATTTGCGTACGAGAAATATAATAAATAATAATAATAATAGGTGTCAATAACCGCGTTTCAATACGAATACATATATATATATTTTTCATTCAACGCTGGAACTCCAAACCATTCGACGTGAATTTGTACGTCCGGGTTC